AGGAGGTTCTCGTAGCCGAGAAGGAACTTGCGGTGCCAGAAGAGAAAGACGCACGTGCCGTGGGCCTCCTTGTTGCTCATCTGCTCCGAGTGCATCGAGATGAACCGCTCGTAGAGCGGCGTGTCCATGGCCTTGGCGACCGCCTTCTTGTACGTGGCCTTCTCGGTCTCCGAGTAGCGGTTCCACGACTTGCGGACGCGGGGCGGGCACGACGGCGTCGACTGCGCCGAGACGGCCGAGACGAGAAGCGCGAGCGAGAGGAGCGTCGGGACAGCCACCATGATTCGAATTGAACGAGAGGAAGTGAAATGGGAAATGGTTAAGAGCCACGAAATGCGCGAGGTTGGTGTAATTTTCCCGAGGCGGCAGCCCGTTTATGCACGCACGCATGATATGTGGACCTGTCCGGACGGCGCTAACTACGGTCCCGTTCCCGAGATACCTGCGTCGTATATCGGGGCAGCTACATTTGTACGTACCTCACACGCGCGCCGCAAGGTACTTGGATATGTGCCAGATGTTGCCCTTCGGTTCAACAAGTATAGCCATGGGCAGGCCTCGTAAAACGTGGATTTTTCACCCTCCGATCCACACTTGTCCACGATTAGGCGAAATTGGCTTCCACGTTTTTTTACACTTGATTAAAGTATGCAAAGGTTGGTCGCCGGTTCGATTCTGCCCTCCCTGGCTCATTTAATTCGCTATATTCAAATCCGGCTGATCCACATTTTCAAAATATACTGAAAGCAAGTCGATTTTTGATTGTTGCGCTTGGTGTTTTTATTTTATTCATTGGCAAACAACTCGAAGATTGGCGAGCGGAGTCACTGGCGCAGGGCGTGGGGTCCATTGCCCGTTCCGCCGCCCTCGTAGATCCGCGCCCGCGCGCTCTGGTACGCGTAGCAAGTCCGGCGGATGGCCCAGCGCCTCGTGCATCTGGCGCCACTATGCGTCGCGTTGCTCCTCGTCGCCGTCGTCGACGCCGCCGAGCTGGCGCTACCAGGACCGCGCGGTGGCACGACTTGATGCTGTCGTGGCCATCTGAGACGTCAATAACGCGACCGCGCTCTTCTGAAGTCACCTCCGGCACTCGGCACCTCGCGGCAGAGTCGGCGCTTGCAGGTCTTGCCGTGCTCATGAGCGAAACGTGCGGCGCGCACGCTGAGCTACCGGGATGGGCTGTACTCGTGTCGCGCCAGGTAAACCACGTCGTGACGCTATGGCGCGGCCTTGTTACCGGTACGATCCTCGCCTGGGTAAGGACCCGCTCATGTACTCCTACCAGTCGGAGCTGCCTCGCATGTCGATGATGGAGCTCAAGGGGTGATCGAGCGCTACCTCCAGTCGGTCCATCCGCTCGTAGAAGAAAAGGTGTATGTATAGACTAGAGGCCGAGCCTAGGATCCCAAAGCGCCCGCAGGCCCGCGCCTCCCATCATGCCGAGGGGCGGTCAAGCGCACACAGGAGCTGGTCGATCACACATACATTTTTGAAGCTGTTTGAGTGGATTGCGTAATCACTTCAAGGTTTTGAGCCGCCAAACCAGTCATACATTTTCCAAGTCACCTCATCGATTACGTCATCAATTCATGGTTTAGTCTTGAATTTTGTATTTGTAAAAAATCCACGCTGGAGCCACACTGGAGCCTCAAATAGAGCCATATTTCTCGAAAATATGGCAGCAAAAAAAAAATCCACGTTTTACGAGGCCTGGCCATGGGGGGGGCACAGAGTCCAGACAACCACATGTAGCCAGTGTGAGGGATCCTGGTACGGAAAACACATGTGCTGTACTAAACATGTGCTGCGTGGTGAATATTCCTATCGACGCAACGCCGTTGTTGGTTGTATTATACAACCAACAACGGCGTTGCGTCGACAGGAATGCAATCGAGCCAGCGATCACCTTTTGCAGAACAGCCGACGCAGTGTTGTTGTTGAAGTGAGTTTATTTAGATAGAATTTACACTGAACTGGATATGGTGGTGGACTAGCGATTCCAAGGTGCAACGACGAGCCGGCGGCCGAGAGGCTTAGCCGAGCGGGAGACGTGGTGTGTGAACGGCACACGTTGGAACGTAGTTGTCGCGTAGCCATGCGTCGTGGCGCAGGGCTGCCATGATTTGGAAGAGGCACAAGGCTTGAGTGTCGCAGTGTACGCGCCGAGTGGATGCGCCATTGATTTGGATAGGATTTTAATTGTGAGAGGAAACGTATTAAATTGTAGCATTATAATTTTGGGAACATTGGGCCACCGAAGGTCAGGACTGGCTCTCGCCGCTGCCTGCGTAGCCACGGCCCTGGGCGCGAGTAAAGAAAAAGGCAGAAGGAGATGGATGTTGCTAGCCGTTGCGTATGATAAGTCCTTGTAACACCAAGTTAGTGCGAAACACATTGCTGCAGGTGTGTTGAGGCCATGGTCGACGTGATGCATTCAAGTTGCCAATGACAATATTGGAGCCTTCAACGTGTGAGATGGAGATATATTACGAAGCCTGCAACTTTGGGATGGAAGGCGCTATCTATTTGACATGCGATAATTACAAATGGACGTGCTCTGTGTAGATTTGGACGTGGTTCGCGTAAAAAAATCGTGGGGCAAACAGGCAATAGTATTTGTTGTTGCTGTTGAATTGGGTCGTCTATTGCAATAGATAAAACTATGCTAAATAAATTGTCGGACTTTCTCGTTGTGTACACTCGGTTGAGGATCTTGA